CCCGGTCCAAGCGAGCCTGCCAATACTGGCTACAAACCGTCCAATCTGCAAAGCATCCCTGGCTACCTGGGCCCGCGCGCAGGGCCGGGTCTTCCCCCACTGCCCAGGTGACCAGAGCATCGCCTCCCAGGCGCCAGGCTTTTGTCTGCAGACAAGGAGCGAGATCCCTGCTGTGAGAGATTCAACAGCAGCCTCTCGGGCTGGCTGAGACAGATCTCTGGAGAGGGGCACCGACGGGGGCATTTCTGCCACACACCATGCCGACCAATTTCTAGCTGATCAGCATCAGCAAAACCACCCCCTGCCCAATGGCGTACCTAGGCAAGATCCAAATTGGAATTACAACAAAGAAGCGGGGGAAAATGCAATACGAATGTTAAAAGAAAGTATCTTAGAGGGACTTAAAAAGGCAGGGGATAAAACTACAAACTGGCCCAAAATGACAACTACTGTTCAGAGTTCCGAAGAACACCCTTCAGACTACTTTGAAAGACTCTGTAAAGCCATACACCGGTATGGAAACATGGACCCCGAGTCACTTGCCACGTTGCCTGTGTTAAGACTTGTATTCATAAGTCAGGCTAGCGAAGATATTAGAAAGAAGCTCCAACATGACACTGAGGGTGTTGAGGGTAAATCCATGGCAGAAATCTTAGCCAGTGCTACTCAAACTTTTAATGGAAGGGAAGAAAAAAGGAAGAAAGAAAAACAAAAGGAAGATCGTTGCATGTTGGCAGCGGTAATTCAGCCGCCAAATCCCTATAGAGCCAATCTGCCCGTGGCCCGAGACCCTTTGTGCCTAGGCTACTGGGCCGCACCCACCAACCGTATGGGCCCAACGTATGCCATTACTGCAAACAGGAAGGACACTGAAAAAGAGTGTAAGTTACGACCAAAAAGATTCCCAAGTGAAAACCCTGAAAACCAAAAATTCAAGCACCCTCAGCTTGCTACTGTTACCCCAGAATTTGCTCAAGACCAATTTGATGACTGACGTGATGAGGGAGATTCTACATGCCACCTTCTGCAACTTTCCACTGTCCAACCCAAAGAAGTCACCCTAAACTGCAGTACTCAAGATCCCTTGATACCCTTAGAAATAGGAGGACACGTTTACGAGTGCCTGCTAGACGCAGGGGCAACTTTTTCCAGTATTTCCAAAGGACACCTTTCCCCAAGCGGAAAACAAGTCACAGTTATGGGTATCAAGGGCAGACCTTTCCGTTGTCCCTTTTCTCAAGTTGTTAATATCAAGATTGGTCCTCTTTCAGCAGAACACTCCTTCCTCTTAGCCAATAGTCCTGTCAACCTTCTAGGAAGAGACCTTCTCTGCAAACTACGTGCCACTATACAGTGTACACCCGACGGAATTATCTTAACATTCCCATCCTCTCAAATCCCTACATTGGCTGCGGTCCTTGTACCCACCCAAGACCCAAGTTTAGAGTCTCTTCCTTCTATTCTAAAGGAAAAGGTACCCCCAGAACTTTGGGGCCTCACCTCCAGCTCAGTGGGACTCCTAAAATCTGCAGAGCCTGTCAAAATCCTAATTCGTACCAATGTCAAACCACCTAGAGTACCCCAATACCCTTTACAGGCAGAGGCAATTGAGAGACTTAAGGCTTTATTTAAAGATTTTTCTAAACAAGGAATTTTAATTCCCTGTCAGTCCCCTTGTAACACTCCTATACTTCCAGTAAAGAAATCCAAGCCGGGTCCAGACGGAAAGCCCGTCTATTGTTTTGTTCAAAACCTTAGACAAATTAACAAGTATGTCATTCCTCGACACCCTGTCGTTCCTAACCCCAATACTATTTTAACTGCAATACCCCCTGACACTACTAGTAGTAGACCTCTGTTCAGCGTTTTTCAGCATCCCCATCCAGCCTGAATCCCAATATCTTTTTGCCTTGACCTGGGGTTCTTCTCAACTGACCTGGATACGGTTACCCCAAGGATATGTAGAATCTCCCAGCATTTTTTCTCAAATTCTCACAAAGATTTGCAAGATGTTACTTTTCCTAACTCCTCATCTCTCCTAATATACGTGGATGATTTACTCTTGTGCTCTATTTCATCCGAGGCATCTATCCAAGACACCATCGTCTTACTCACTGCACTAGCCGCCAAAGGCCACAAAGTGTCACCAAGCAAGCTTCAGTTTTGTAAATCCACTGTCAAATACTTAAGACACATCTTAGAGCCAGGCCAATGACGCCTTAGTGATGACAGAATCCAAGCCATTCTAAATATTCCCAAACCTATAACAAAGCATCAGGTTAGGGGTCTGCTGGGACTAGTGGGGTTCTGTCCCTCTTGGATCCCAGCCTTCGGAGAGTTAACCAAGCCACTTGTGCAGCTTACCACAAAAGATGCAGAAAAACCAGTCTTTTTGAATCATGAAGCCGCCCGTAGCTTCAGTGATATAAAAACAGCTTTGACTTCTGCCCCAGCCCTAGGGCTACCAAATTATCGAAAGCCTTTCACGCTCTTTGTTCATGAGCGACTAGGAGTAGCCTCTGGGGTACTTACCCAACCCTTAGGCACCACCCAACGCCCGGTAGCTTACTTCTCTGCACAATTAGATCCAGTGGCCAAGGGGAGAGTGGGATGCCTTCGTGCAGTGGCAGCAGCTGCAACAATAGTCAAGAAAGCCCAGGAATTAGTCTTCAGATACCCCCTTATCCTAAAGGCTCCACACGCAGTAGCCCTCCTCCTCCAGAAAAACACTCAACATTTTTCTCATCAAAAAATGAACAAATATAAAACCACACTTTTAATGGCCACAAACCTGGTCATAGAAAGATGCAATACCCTGAATCCGGCTACTCTATTACCTCTACCTAGTGACAGCAAACCAGACTCCCACGATTGCCTTCAAGCGGCAGCATTTTCAGACAAACCCGGGGCAGATCTCAGTGACTTATCCTTAGACAACCCTGACTTAATTTTTTATGTAGATGGCTCTTCAAAAATAGTTAACCGAGTTAGAAAAATGGGCTAGGCAGTGGTAACTCCATTTAAAGTACTTGAAGCTGAACCTCTGCCTGGGCAG